AGAGATTAGGGTTTTACTTTTCCTTCTTCCAGCACGCCCAGTTTAAATCCTACAGGCTTTGGGATTTAGCTGAGCTAAATCAGGTGGGCTGAGTCGGGGGTGGATGTGACGTAAGTTATCTTCTAATACACAGAAAGTTTAGAGAAATGAGTCTCTTCTCCTGTTTCCTGTCTAATAGTGATTTGGCTAAATAGGCCTAAAGGTCTGTTCACACGGGGCCTGTTTTTATGGATGCTTTGAAAACACTATAACACTATTATAATGGAAATGTTCCCTCAAAGGTACATCAGTGGTTTTAAGGTCTGATTGTGATCCTTAAATAAGTTTTTCCAGGTGAAAAGTTCGTATTTGTATCTTTTCATAACCGAATGTTTTAAAACAGAACAGTAAAATAAAAGCCTGGAGGCGAGACGGGGTGTGTGGAGTCAGTACAGCTTAGAACATATCATTTCAGTGGATTATGGTTCAGTTATGTTCCCTGACTGAAGGTACTGAGATGGACCCTTGAGGGTCCCATCTGAGTGACAGGAGGGTAACTGACCCAGTGACAGTTTAGTACCTTTATTTATGAGAGTGTACTATAATCTAAGAACAGCTTGGCCAGTTTGCACTGAAGTCCCTGTAGTAACTGAATAATAAGCCTTCATATGTAATAGATTAAGCTGATTAACAGGTTAAGTCCAAAACGGACAGACTTTGATGCTGCATAAAAGTTTTGTGCAACAAAATCAGAGCGATCAGAGCTCCGTGGTCATGTGGTCAGTCCACACAAATGGCAGCACAACATCTCATCTTGTAGGTGGCAGACCCGGAAGTGGACTATACAAAGGTCCAATCCCATTTCTTATGTTTACCCCTGCCCCTGGTTTTCGAGAGTCACCTTGCCCTGTGGAACTGAGTCAGAAGGGGTAGTGGTTGAAATCTTCCCTCTGAAATGGGACCCTCAAATAAAAAGAGCATCACTTCATTAACAGCTACCAGCGCTGCTCTGTAGGCGACCCTGCCAGTCTGCAGTGACAGCAGAGGAGGGTAAAGTTCAGCTCCTCACTGCTGGGCTTTAGTTACATTTAGGGCATCATATGATCTTCAAAGAGGGGGGCAATTATTTATTATCACCCACCTCTAATTCTTCAGTGATATGAAGCTGAAGTCAGATATTCACCAGCTTCTTGTTTGAATTTTACCATAATACACTGAAACGACATTAAACTAAGATAATAAAATGGTTATCGTGATTTTTAAAGGAGAAAATTCTCACGTTTGTGGGTTTCTTTGGTCTCTTGTTCAGCCATCTTGCCATTTTTTCTTTTTTTCTCATATCACTCTGTTTGGAGGACCATGTAGCCCCAACACCCCTCTATCTCAACAAAAATCAGAACACCCTACCCCTAGATGTGAACATATAAGGGCTGTACGAACTGAAGTGTTTTGAAACTTTACATATTACTCCAAACTCCTTTATTTAAAAAAAAAAAGAAAGAAAAAAAGAAGGGAAAGCCGCTTTTCCGAGATGGGCTCTTTAAAGTAAACATACGGAGGATCAGAGTGGAAAGGCTGGGAACAGTGAGCACTTCAGCACAAAACATTCAGTATTTTGTAACAGTTTCCTCACAGTAGGCTTTTACAAACATTTGTGGTAAATATGCTGCCTGGTGTTTCTGAAATTTATTTATCTATGATGTGTCATTCAGTAGCTAATTTAAAAATGTGTCATTTTATTCATTCACTAATTTTAAAATTTGTCATGTCATTCACTAATTTTAAAATTCGTGTTGTCAGTCAGTAACTAATTTTAAAATTTATCATCATTTACTAATTTTAACATTTGTTGTCATTCAGTAACTAATTTTAAAATTTGACATTGTATGCATTCACTAATTATAAAATGTCATGTCATTCACTAATTTTAAAATTTGTCATTCAATAACTAATTTAAAAAATTGTGGTGTCATTTACTAATTTTAAAATTTGTCATGCCATTCACCAATTTTAAAAAATTGTGGTGTCATTTACTAATTTTGTGTCGTGTCATTCAGTAACTCATTTTAAAATTTGTCATGCCATTCACTAATTTAAGTGTGTTGTCATTCAAAAATTAACTGTAGAATTTGTCATCATTCACTAATTTTAAAATTTGTGTTGTTATTCAGTAACTAATTTTAAAATGTGTTGTCATTCACTAATTTTGAAATTCGTGTTGTCACTCAGTAACTAATTTTAAAATGTCATTTTATTCATTCACTAATTTTAAATTTGTCATGTCATTCAGTAACCAATTTTAAAAATGTGTCGTGTCATTCAGTAACTAATTTTAAAATGTTTCGTGTCATTCAGTAACTAATTTTAAAGTTGCGTAGTTCTGAAAGTCCTACACATGAACCCTTGGGGTTTAAGAGGTTAATGGACTTACAGATCCGTGGAGCTGCACTTCTCCTGCTGTTCAGCCACATATTGCTACGCCTCAGGCGAGAAACTACTACCCACACCGCATTAGTCCAGGCCTGAGGACTGAACCACTCTCCTCTGCCACTTCCTTCTCTCACTTTAATGACCTGCATGAACGTTTTCATTGTTCGCTTTTTCATACAGACTAGCTGACATTGATATTTCATAAGGTTTCCAATTACAAAGGTGGACAGATGTGTTCCTGCCACGCAAGTACAATAATATAAAAGGACAAAAGTGAGGGATGACTTAGATTTTCTTCTTTGTACAGGCATCGCAGACAGGCTGGTATAGAAACACTTGCAAGTTGCAGTTCTTTTAGTATTATTTCAAACTTGTCATTGAAAAAGTAGAGAAATTCTTTGGAAAATGAAATATTTAATCCATCCTACAATGGGGGTTGTGATTTTTTTTACCATTCTGATTTGATATACTGTGTTTGGTGTTTTGCGGAAAGAAGAAACATCTCCTGTTCAGACTCTGTTGATACAGACTGAAAATTGAATGTAAATATAATTCACTTCATAAATTCACTATGAAACTATTTTAACTTCTAATGTAGGTTGACATAACTAGATTTTAGTCCTATTAGTTCTGGACCGTTTCTATTGGTCCATTCATTGTGCATTTTGGATGCAATGTAAAGCTTTTTTAAATAATGTTAAAAAAAAAAAAACATTTTGTTTGCATGTTGACAACATGCATCATATGGAATTTCATTTGGATTTTGTTGCAACTGGCAGTAATAATTCAGCTTCTAAAGGGTTCAACTTTAACTGACTTGCCTCACATTAAGCCTACGTTATCGGATCAGATTTACAAGTTTAAAAAAAAATAATAATAATAATAATAATCAGCTTCACCAAAAAAGAAAAAAAGTTTAACTGCATAAATGAACTTTGCATCTTACCACACGTAACTTGCGTGCCATTTATTTCAGCTGTTAAAGGTTATAATAAAGTAGCATAGAAAATATATTTCTTCTTTACACACCACAAATAATACAAAGCGATGCATCACATACATAAAGAGTCGTCTTCAAAACGTTACAGGAAGAGACCTGTAGACTGTCCAGTTTCGGCTATATGGCCCTTCAAGTGAACACGTATGAACTGGAATGTGTTACAGCGAACCAAAGAAAAAGAACGGAAAGGATTACAATAACGAAAAAACACAAAAAGTAGTCTTTTGATGTTTTTAATACACGGTTACCTGTACATGTGAGGAAGAAAAAAAAAACAAAACAAAAAACAAAAACAAAAAAAAAAAACACTAAAATTAAACATTTGAAATTATAATATCCCTTTTCATTAAGCAACGAAGTTAATACTAGATTCAATTTGTAACTAATCATTCATACATATATTAGATCACACAGAGTAGAAAGAAAAATAATTACTTAAAAAGTTATTAGCATCGGACTGTACATGAGTCCACAGTGTGTACTGGTTGGGGCGTCAGGGAAGCTGGGTGGTACCAAATAAGACAACTTTGATCTTAATACTTAGAATATAAAAAACTACAATTAATTAATACACAGATAGGAATCTGGAGGCTTAGCAGTCTTGAACGGTTTAAGTACAGAACATACATAAAAACCTATCATCTCTCATTTTGTCCATATATGAAGATGCAACATCAAATTTCAAATTACACATTCACGATCTTTGAAAAATTTCAGTATGAAAAACAGAACAGAAAAACAGGGACAGTTTTCCTGCAAAAATGACTCCATGAAAAAAAAAAAAACTTCTTTGATTTAATTATATATATATATATTTAAATAAAGTATTTAGTCAAGTATCTGAGTGTACATACATAGTTTTACAAGATAGCAAAGGCAATAAACTCACAATAATATGCAAGAACCCCCCTTTTCCCACATCAGATCAAGGTAATAAAAAAATTATCCATTACATTTCCATATGCCTAAAAAAAATAACTCTAAGAACTACAAGTTAAACGTCTGTCAAAATATTAGAGAAATCCATCTTTGTTTCAAATATGAAATAAGATATTGCACCTTTTTAAACCAGAGTACAATAAAATGACAATGAAAAAACAGAATACAAAACACAAGAGGAATTAAATTAGGAATTGACTGCTGTTTGCCAACGTCACTCACCGTATTGTGTAACAAAAACATTTTTCCTGTAACAAAAACATCACAGTTTTTATCTCACTGAATTAAAATTGCTTTATGTAAAAGGAAAAGAAAGAAAAACATTTTTTTTTTTTTTTTACACATTCTTAAAACATTTCATGACAAGAACAAAACAAAAATGGATTCAAGACTGCTAAGCCCATAATTACGATTTTATTGCAACAGAACTAGAAAAAATAGATTATATTGCGATTGCTGAAATGTTACAACTCCGGGGTTCGTTTTGGCGATTCACTTGAATTAAAAAGGAAGAATAGAAAACAAAAACACAGCTATATTTATCCAAAAAGGATCCCGGAAATTGTTCATTCAAATAATGGTGTACACAAGTATTTAGTAACAATTTTTACGTTCCTGATTTTAGAAATTCTTAATTGTATAAGTCATTCTACAGCTAGTGTTTCTCACTAAGAGTAAAAGTCTTCAAGGCGTTGCAAATCTAGAAACCTCTGTTACAAAAGGTTTGTTTCATCTTCTCAATCATTCAAAAATCTTCAACTAAAGGGAATCCGCTCTAATGATCCTACGGGAGAGAAAAAGACGACAGATGAAATTTACAGTCATGATACAACATTAAGGGCGTCACTGGTCAAATGACACGTTTTGTTGATTTTTTTTAACTCATCCTCTACAGAAAACACTCGGTGTACAATCACTGTTTATTTGCTGAATTTAATATGCTGGGGGGAAAAAAAAAGTTCAAAAGTTTTTGAACATTTTGGATTTATATTTTTTTCAATATCTTAAACACAAAATACTTAAAATATTACAATGTTACTTTGTAGATGTGTTTTACAGAACATTTTATTAAATTTTCTTTAATATCAAACAGAAAATAATCAAATTTGTTACTTTGTAGATGTGTTTTATAGAACATTATATTTTTTCAATATCTTAACCCTTTAATGTTCTGCTCAACCATTTGGTAAAGCATATTTTGAGTCACTATACATACCAAAAGTGCCATCTCGACCATTTGGCAGACGTGAATATTTTAAAAACTGTGGGGTCAAAAAAGAAACTAAGAACACCAATTTTTTTATTATTGCCCCAAAAAAAATAAAACATACCACATTGTTTTTTTCTTGGTGAGAACATTAAAGGGTAAAACAGAAAATACCTAAAATATGAAAAAAAGTTTACTTTGCAGACGATGTGTTTTATGGAACTTTATGTTTATATATTTTTTCAATATCTTAAACACAGAAAAAACTTAATTTTTAAATTTGTGTCTTGTAGAGGTTGTGTTTTCACTTCAAAAATCAACAAAATGCATAATTTGAACAGGGGTGTTCAAATTTTTTAATATATCTATGCATTGTGCGCCTCCACCCACCCCCTTCCCCGCCCTGTTGTGGTGAAGTGTCGATATTTAACATATTAAAGATCTGAGCGTGTGCGTACCTGAAGGCCCGGAGCCTGCGTCTGCTGCGCCCCTTGGCCATAGTAAGCTCCCTGTTGTCTGTAATACTCCACCCAGGCAGCGCTGTAGTCTGGAGGGGAGCTCTGCTGAGACCCAGGAGCTGCAGCCTGACCTAAGAGGGGGAAGAGAAAAAGAAAAAGAAAAAGAAAGAACAAGCATGAAAGACAGAAAGTAATAGACCACCAGAAAGAAAAAAAAATAAAGACGACTGATAAGATGACTGAACTAAAGGAAAACTCCAGCATTTTCTAATCTGCCGCATCTGTACTGCACCACTAATTAACAGACACCACTTTGTGAGTTTTCCCCCAAACAGAAAATCAAAATCCAAAACTTTTTTTAAGCTTTTCTGGTGTCCATGTTATTAATGATGGAATTTAGTAAATGCTCTTTGGCTTCTTTTACTATTACTTTGTTTCAAGTTATGTTTTCTGTGATTTTTTTTAGTTAGAACTGAAAACTCGAGCAATGAAAAAGTGACGAGCTCAGAAACTAACCCCCTGATTTATTTCCACAAACACTCTGGGTACAAAGTGCAGGGGTAACTGTGAGGGCCAAATATTGTACTGTGTGTGTGTACACACACACACATATATATATATATATATATAGGGTGTGTGAGTGTGTGTTATGAAGACAATTTGAAGACATCTCCTACTGATGTCCCTCCACAACAATTATTATATTCTACAAACCCATTATGTGTTTTCTACTGACTCCATAGGGCGCATAGTGTTTGGACCCCAATGATTGCCAATTGACAGTTTGTAGAAGTGTGATTAGCTCTCATAGCAGGCATAACGGCCCACTGCAACACATGCACTCTAAATCAACGTCAGACACACGTGTGCTCTAGACGTGCTAACTTACGTTCATTTAGAAAATCAGTAAAATGTCATTTCACCTGTTGTGGTCACAATTTTTAAAACTCACAACTCATAAAATCTCAAAATATACATTTGAACAGCTTATTCTGCATTCAAAACAGCAAATTTCACCAAAAGGCGATGAGTTTACATCTATGTCAGTGCAGGGAAATCCACTGAAATCACAGTCCATTGTAATCGACCATACTCTGCAGTAAGAGCTTATGCTGAAATATGCTGGACACTCCTTTAAAGATCAGATGATGCAGGACAGAAGAACTTACTCTGTTTCTTGTAATACTCCTCCCATGCTTTGCTGTAGTCTGGACCAGTGCTCTGGGCTTGGCTCTGCTGACCTAAACACATCCAAACCACAGGACATCAGTATATTCAATCTTTTTACCTCTGAATACTGAAATGACGTCAGCTACTCTGAGAAGCTATGAGATTTAAGAAGAACTGATGTCTTCTACAGGTTTTTTTTTCTCCCTCCTCAGTGGACGATATGCCAACATGTCAGTTTGTCTAATAAACACACAGTCATATGCTAAAGTTTGGGAGCCCCTGGTCAAATGATGCTTTGTTGATTTTCTAAGTGGAAATAAGTTAATAAAACAGCCTCTACAGTGAACTGTTTATTTAATATTAATATATCAGAAAAACGTGGCCTGTGCCAAAGATCTATAATGCATGTTTAATATCGCTGTTGTCGGAAGAAAACCTCATCTCTTAAATGGTAACTTTACAGGTGAACGAAAAAACCTACTTTACTTTTAATGTAAGTCAATGGAACCAGAGTTTTTTCCAAGTTATTCTGGACTGTTTCTTTTGGTCCATTCATCATGAAATTTACACACAATGTAAAAGAGAACATCTATTTTCTAATTATGTCAAAAACTGAAAACTGACAAAAATGGAGAGGTTTTCTTCTGATAAACTATTATGCACTAAAAAAAAAAATTATAAATAACTTTTACATTTCATTACATTTTTCTGTAATGTTATTTTCACTTAGGAAATCAACAAAACGTCATCTGACCAGATGTGTTCAAACTTTCACATACTGCTACATTTTCACTATTTCTGGATGTAGCTCACATCAGCATAGCTCACCTTCTCCTGTCCTGAACAATGTGTTCTTGGCAACGCGCTCATATTTAGGCACCCGTTTCAGATTATATATGTGCAAATGTGTTATTAAAACGTTAAATTAGCATTTTACGGCACAGTTCGTCTGTTTTTTTCCCTCGCCCACTTTCCCGAATAATCAAATAGTGATTTCAGTATCTGAATACTGGCACCTTAAATGGTAAACTGAGTAACTGAGCACCAGTGCACAACACTAAATTTACGGTTAAGTTGTTGTGTCTAAGCATCCTGAGGCAGCAACTTTAACACCAAGTATTCCCACCAAAAGCTGGCTTACACAAAGCAAAAGCGCAGTGGGTAAAGTCAAATGGAACAGATAGTGAGAAAATAAATAAATAGATAAATAAAAAAAATAAATAAATAAATAAATGGTGAAGGTCATCATTGCAAACCCCCCCCCCACAAAAAAAATAAAAAATAAGAAAAAGGTCTCTAAAAGTCTCTACAAATGGAAAGGCAAAAATAGTCACTGTCAGAACAAAACTGTGTCTCAAACAGTAAATTGATAGAAGAAAACTTGTTTAACCTTTAATGGAAGTCAACGCCATGAGATTTAATTCTGTTGATTTCATCATGAAGTTTTACACAACGTAAAGGGCAGCTGGTGTTTTCAAATTATGTAAAAAATAAATAATGAAATAAAAATAAAAATTTGTTCCAACGGCGACAAAATATCTATAGTACTCTTTGAACATTTAAAGTACTAAACATAAAAAACCCTGAATCTCATCAAAACCCACAAATTAGCAGAAAAAAGTTTAAGCGAAAGTGAGACACTCTGAGGGACACTTGCCTAGCTTCTTATAATACTGCTCCCACGCTTTGGAATAATCCATCTGCCCTGTCTGAGATCCATTGTGACCTACAACAGACGAGAGACCAACAGTGTTGGAGAACTAAACCACCACAAGAGGAAATCGACAAGTGATGCATATGAAACAGAGCGTTTCAGTTTCTCTCATTTCTGTGCAGTTATCAGCTATTCATGTCACAGAGGTGGTGAAATGTGCAGGCTGTGATTCATTTGAGCCAGTCTTAGTGCGCCAAGTCACCGGGAGAATCTCATCTTCGAAAATTAGGGCTGTCATGATCAATTATATCAAATCAAATAAACAACTGATATTTTGATGATTAATCAAGTAATTAGAGATTTGAAAAAAAGGCCAAAACTGAAACTTAAATGAAACAAACAAATTATGCACATCTTTTCAAAATAAAGTGGAGAAAGTTCATATGGTGTCAAATTTAACACATTCATAATAACAGGAGTTGAAACAGCAGGCGCTGGATGAAAAACTGGGTTTTTCATGTTCACATAAACCCTACGTTTATATGACAAATTATAATTGTCAACTACTGAACACACACACACACACACACACACACACACCTCCGTCCAAAGTTTAAAAAAAAACAAAAAAAAAAAACAAAACAAAACTCATTTCTATCTGTTCATCCTGACTGTTTGACAGTGTGTAAAGGTCAGCTGGTGAGTCAAATTAAATATATCGCTGTTGGAAGAAAACCTCGTATCTCCAAAATGGTAACTTTACAGGAGAAGGAAAAAACATACTTTACTTTTAATGTAAGTCAATGGAACCAGAATTTCTTCCAAGTAATTTTGGGTCTTTTCTTTTGTTGCATTCATCATGAAATTTACACACAAAGGGAAAGACACTTTCAAATTATGTCAAAAACTGAAAAACGACAAAAATAGAGATACAAGTTTTTTTCCCGATAGCAGCGATATGTTAAAATAATAATAATAATAATAATAATAATAATAAAAGAAAACCTTGACCAATCACGGTTCCCGATATTTCTGTGCATGATCCAACAGATGCTAATTATTTTGGTCAGGGTTGCTGGTTGTTCAGCTGTCATTACTGATTCATTGGTGAATTTTATGCATGGAAAATGGCCAAATTAAAATGTATGACAATATAATTTCAATACTGCCTGCTGTCCATGCTCTATATGCTCTACTGAGATCATATATACAGCACTGGTTGAGAACTCACTGGGGTCCTGCTGGCCCTGAGGCTGCCATGTCTGGTATGTAGCACCCCATCCTCCAGTCATGAAAGTCTGCGGTCCACTAGCAGACCAAAAAACAAAAAACAGAAACAATAATTAGTAGAACGCCAACAAAACAGGTCACAAAACCTCAACAAACAACCCCATCCACACCACCGGGAAAGGGGGGACCAAAGGGAATACTGAGGATGGGCGAAAGGGCAAAAATACACTGTTGTTGTCAGAAGAAAACCTCGTATCTCCAAAATGGTAACTTTACAGGAGAAGAAAAAAACTGCTTTACTTTTAATGTAAGTCAATGGAACCAGACTTCCAAGTCATTTTGGGCCATTTATTTTGGTCCATTCATCATGAAATTTACATACAATATAAAGGGCAACAGGTATTGACAAACTGTGTCAAAAACTGGAAAACGTCAAAAACGGAGATACAAGGTTTTCTTCTGACAACAGCGATATCACAATACATAAAGGGCATTTTCACGGTACATAATATTTTACAGTATTTAATTTTTCAGAGGTTTAGGAACACACTGGAGGACTCAAGAGCACAATTAAATTCAGTGTAGTGGTGGGCAGCACGGACAAAAATTTACATCACAGTGTAGTTAAGATTTTTAACAGTTTTGGGATACATCACGGCATATTTATACATCTTTTTCCTAATAAAACCCATTTTTAATGCTCTACTAAATCTGTTTCGTAGATTAACAGTGGCTTACTATTAATATTTAACCTCTTATTCTCCAGGGTATATTTTGTTTTTTTCCATCTGAATTTCAGATCAAATCGTAAGGCAAATTATTCAGTAACTGTATGAAATGTAAATTTTTCATCTTTTTTTTCTTTAAAAGTTCCCCAAAAATTAACAGAAAATGTGTTATGACCACACATATTGCTATATGCTTACAATTTACTGCTGAAAGCCAAAAATCTTTGTAGTATTTTATAAAAATCATTTGTACAGAGCAGATCACTGAAAAGACGCCATCTGTTTATAGTTTATAGCTCAGATTTGTGGAAAAATGGGTCGACTTTCAGTAGAAAAAAAAAACTGAGTTCAGCTTCTTTTATTATAAGGGTTTAAAATTACATCACCCATCTATGTGACTGGAAAGAAGACAGTTTCAGCTCTCATACAACCCCCACCTTCTGAATGTAGCTTATGAAATATAAAAGTTATGAAGAATATAACGAAGTGCATTTTGGAACCACCGGTGGTCTCAAGGAGTTGAAGAGGTTAACAACTGAAGTAAATCTAGCAAGTTTTTTATTGGGTAAAATAGCAAAAACAGAACTAAACAACATAAAGAGAAAAGGTCAAAATTGCATTCTACCCCTTATGAGATGAAGGCGAGTGTGTTTAAGCACACAGCGGCTTCTCTGAGCCCAGCAGAAATAAGGCTGAATGTTTAAACTATAGAATTTCAAGACAGAAACACTCACTTCTGGTGCGGGGTAGCTGGTCCTTGGGTGAAAGGACTGAGGCCGAAACTGCTGCTGCCCCCCAACCCTGAGGCCTGCACGAAGAGGACAGAGGCAGAGTCAATGAACAAAGGTTGAAAGGTCACACAGGTCCTCACGCACTCCATTAAGCACTGCTGATTGATTGGTAGAGGGCAGGATAAACCCCTCGCTTTTACTAATGGTGCGAGTGCACCCCAAAACAAAAAGCATTGGGGGATGTATTAAGACCACCTACTAGAGAGCCAAAAGCAGCAAGAGAGAGTTTACAAACTGGTTTATGTACACCCACTGTTAAAAACAGCGTTAGGAACATTACAGTAATAAATACTGTTAATAAAACTGACCTAGATTCAAAAATATTCAGGAATTTTAGGAAAAAAATCAGAATATTCTACGTATAATGAAATTTCAAATTTCACCACAATTCAATTCTATTCAATTATTTTGGTGCAGAATTATTTAAAATAAAAAAATTTAAAAATAAAACGTCTTCTGGCCAAAAAAAAAAAAATCAGACTAATTAATTCAATTAAAATTAACTGAATTAAAATTAATTTAATGACAATGAATTCTGAATATACGTATAATGAAATTTCGAATTTCACCACAATTCAATTCGATTCAATTATGTTGGTGCAGTTCATAATTATTTAAAATTTAAAAAAATAAAATGTCTTCTGGGCAAAAAAAAAAAGACTAATTAATTCAAATAAAATTAACTTAATTCATAATAATCACAATTATTTCTAACATCTCAAAATCAAAGCAGCTCAATCACCACCTTCAGATCTGTGGATTAAACTGATGCATATTTAAACCGTGTAAATAGTGCCAGTCACAAGGCAACATTTTTCTTTATCTCAAAAGGTATCAAGCTGCTCAGAGAAGAAAAACCCACATCCTCAGTCTGGCAAGTTTTCACTTTCATTCTGCTACGTGAATTAGCCCAATTCTAATGATGACTTTCAACAAGTTTGCAATCCAATCTCAAGCAAAACCCCGGCGGCAGAAAGAACTTCTCTACCAAGTAAAGTCTCAGAACAGGCAGTTCCAATTTCATGTCTTCAAGTCAGTAGCGCTGGTGCACGTCTGTCAGTCACAGTTATATTTCTTTCTTTAATTTCAGGAGCCTTTATGTTAAATACATGAAGGCCCCTGTAGCTTAAGCCGATTTGTCTGGCTAAAAACAGACCAAAGAAAACTAACAACATTGAGGACAAATTTTTTGACTGATCAGCTGCTCACGATGAGAGAAGAAATTGGCGCCTTATTTGTGTAAAAATGCGTTGAGAGCGGCTATTCAACTCGCAGTAACTTTAATATTAAAAAAATACTGGTGTTAATATTTGCAGAAGGCAAAATATTATACACCGATCAGGCATAACATTATGACCACCTCCTTGTTTCTACACTCATTGTCCATTTTATCAGCTCCACTTACTGTATAGGTGCACTTCGTAGTTCTACAGTTACAGACTGTAGTCCATCTGTTTCTCTGATACTTTGTTAGCCCCCTTTTACCCTGTTCTTCAGTGGTCAGGACCCCCATGGACCCTCACAGAGCAGGTACTATTTGGGTGGTGGATCATTCTCAGCACTGCAGTAACACTGACGTGGTGGTGGTGTGTTAGTGTGTGTTGTGCTGGTGTGAGTGGATCAGACAGCAGTGCTGCTGGAGTTTTTAAACACTGTGTCCACTCACTGTCCACTCTATTAGACACTCCTACCTTATCAGTCCACCTTGTAGATGTAAAGTCAGAGACGATAGCTCATCTGCTGCTGCACAGTCTGTGTTGGTCATCCTCTAGTCCTTCATCAGTGGTCACAGGTCGCTGCCCACAGGACGCTGTTGGCTGGATATTTTTGGTTGGTGGACTATTCTCAGTCCAGCAGCACTGCTGTGTCTGATCCACTCAGACCAGCGCAACACGCACTAACACACCACCACCACATCAGTGTTACTGCAGTGCTGAGAATGATCCACCACCCAAATAGTACCTGCTCTGTGAGGGTCCATGGGGGTCCTGACCACTGAAGAACAGGGTAAAAGGGGGCTAACAAAGTATCAGAGAAACAGATGGACTACAGTCTGTAACTGTAGAACTACAAAGTGCACCTATATAGTAAGTGGAGCTGATAAAACGGACAATGAGCGTAGAAACAAGGAGGTGGTCATGATGTTATGCCTGATCGGTGTATATTGTGTATCTGTATTCCACTACTGTGTAAACACTTCTCACAGTCACATGTATTTTTTTTTAAAAGTATTGTAACCCAGCTGACCATCCAAATGCCATCATATGCAAACACAAGTGAAGTCCGTGCTTCAGTATAAATCCACAATTCGTACCCCTATCTTCTCGTCGATCAGCTGTCTGGCCATTTCGATCTGCTGCGGGGTGCCTCTGATGGAGAAGATGCGCACGTTGGGGTCAGTGTTGGGAGGAGGATTCCTCTGCAGCTCCACATGAGCTCCAGACTGCTGGTTGATGTTCTTAATGGTCTCTCCGCCTGAGGAAAACACAAAGGTGTGACAACAGTAAGTACTAGGGCCATTTTTATGTACCTATGAGAGGTATTTGTCTTATCCTTTTTGCTAATTAAATCAGTAATCAAGTAATCTATTGATTATTTTGATGATTATTCAAGTTATTATATATATATTTTTAAGTGCCCGACCTAATACCTAAATCAAACAAACTACGCATATCCTTTCAAAATACTTCACTGGTAAAAGTTTATATCATGTCAAACTGAACACATTAATCATAACAGTAGGAGTTGAAACATGCAGCCGCTGTTGCTCTCACTGGATGAAAAACTGCAGTTTATGTTCATTTTATCCCCACGCTCAAAAAAGTTAGTAATGAATCATTGAAATTCACACACAATTTCTTTAAAAAACCCTCACATTTCTCTCTGTTGATCTTATCTTTGTAAGTATTTGTTTCAAAATATATGCTTCTGTTTTATTCCCACAAGCTGAACCTTGAGAATCCACAATTATGGTAAGAGACAATAAAAACATTACTAACAAGCCAATGCAAGATCCAGCAACAGACATAAAAAAAAACCCTCTTGTAATTTGATATTTATTATTACTCATTAGTTATATCTCATTAAAACAAAGGGAGAAATTCTACTGAAAGTGCAGATTCTTTTCCTCAAGTTGGTAACGTGTTTGTAATAAAACTACGTTTCAACATTTGAATTTGCTGACATTGTTTTTGAGTGAAATCCTGTTGTTCTGCATATCGAGCAGGATGTTTTATTTTCAAATGTCATCAAACCTGTTGTGTAGATGTTCTTGGGCGCTTTGCCCCTCTCTTTTGATACTCTAGATCAGAGGTCGGCAACCCAAACGTTAAGAGCCGCCATTGTGTCCTTTCAACCAACTTGAAACCACCTTGGGGGCCAAACTTTTCTGTCCATTTTACCATTGTGGCTGTGAATATGCCTCAGTATGTGCTGATGTTCTAGTATAGGCTAAAAATATAATATAACAGAAAACGCAGACTTGCTTTGCTCTGCTTTGAACTTTAGCTCAGCTGTACTCGCTTTTCCCGCATCTCCGGCAGGAAACTTTTCCTCAGAAGTAGAACAGTTTCTTGTAAAATGTCTCAACGTTCAACATTTTACGAGGGTGAAGTCGCTTCTCATTCGCCAGCTTCTTGATGGAATTTTTCCGTTCCACCTTAAATGAATGTAACTGCTGCACCATTTAAGGTGGAACGGGCAAATAAGCCCATTCGTCTTTAAATTATCGATGTGTATTCAAAAATCTCTCTGACATTTCGTTAGCAACTTACCAGCTGGGCGAAATTTCTGTCTGCGCACCAGCCTTCAGGGTTAAAGGGTGAATTAGCAGTTCTACATTAACTCCAGAGTTTAAGACCATTTACTGTTAAACTGTGTTGAACGATCAGCAGAGCTTTATTTTACTGTAAAGGAGGATTATTTTATTTTTACCTACAAATCTGATTCTGCTGTGGAGCCACAACAGGGCAGTAATAGAGCCACGTGTTTCCGCCCCCTGAACTAGATGAACAGTGACAAGCAGACTGTCTCTTGCAGAAACCGTGAAAGGGATCCACACGGCCAACATTTTGACTGTTGATTTGCTGCTATTCCAACAGTGTTTCCAATGACCAGCACAGGGAAGCAAAGGGCCAAACAGCGTTTTTAAATCAACATATATTTTAAGTTATTTTCCCTGATCAAAATTCACTTCTGACCTTTTTTTCCCCTCCTTGTTTCAGCCAAAAACTAAAAAGTGCCAATTTAGCACATTCTAACTACCGTTTTCAGAGGCCAAAACTTGGGCGCATTCCCACTTAAAGCTGCTGGGCTGCCAAGTGCTTTTCCATTCATTACCCGTTTAACATGTATAACAATCAGACAATGGCTGACAATTTGTTTTCACAGAAGGTGAGACAACAAGTAACACTAACAGACTGACACATCATCAGTGGTCAAGGAAGAAGTGCCTCCTCAGCAGCATAAGCGATGGACAAAATTGGAGCGTATCCTTCCCTGAATCCAGGCTTTTCTTCACCTTATGAAGGGAAAGGCTGAAGACAGGGCTTTGTCTCGTGGTCCCCTGCTCAGCGACAATGTCTCTAAAAAGCTTCCTGTGGGTGTATGTGTGAAAGGGGGAGGTGGGGGGGTGTAGGGATGTCCCCAAAATCAATTACACGTTTGTTCACTTCAGGGTGACACTCGCTTGACCCAACCCGACCCCAGACTGAAAACAGTGCTCAATGAGTCCCCGCCCACCTCGGACTCCTCGCCAAGGCCGATGGACTAGGCATGGGCCATTAAGCTATTGTCAAACAAATTTAACTTCTGCAATAATGAAGCCATTATGAGCTCTCCAGGCACAACAGAGCAATGAATGAAGACACTGACCGTTCAGTTCATGGACTAGGCCCGGTCCTGGCCAACTCACTGGGCCTTATATGGGACGGGTTTAGTTATGGGAAATGAAGGAGAGGGGGGCTCTTAAATGGCGTGAGAGTTCTGCTGGTGGTCTTAAATGCTGAGTGAAAAGACGCTCAGGCTAAGCACTTAGCCTAAACAATGAAATGTGTGTCTCAGACTTGAGAGTTTAACAACTCGGGAAGCCAACAACTTGAATGCAACAGATTAGACGTGAAAGCTGTGTCTGTGCACATGACGGACATCAACAAACTCCTCGAGACCACCGGTGGTTCCAAAACGCACTTCGTCACATTCTTCATAACTTTTATATTTTATAAGCTACATTCTAAAGGTGGGTGTCGTATGAGAGCTGTAACTGTCTTCTTTACAGTCAAATAGATGGGTGATGTAATTTTAAACCCTTATAATAAAAGAAGCTGAAATTCAATTTTTTGTCAACTGAAAGTCGAACCATTTTTCCACAAATCTGGGCTATAAACTATAAACAGATGGCGTCTCTTCAGTGATCTGCTCTGTAAACATTATTTTTATAAAAAAATACAAAGAGCGTCTAAGATTTTTGGCTTTCAGCAGTAAATTGTAAGCATATAGCAATATGTGTGATCGTAAGACATGTTCTGTTAATTTGAGGGGAGCTTTTACAAAAAATAAATAAATAAAATAAAATTTTACATTTATTTCGTGCAGTTACTGAATAATTTGCCTTACGATTTGTTCATGTGAATTCAGATGGAAAAAACAAAATATACCCTGGTGAATAAGAGGTTTAAATAATCATAAAAGAGGTGGGCAATAAGGCAAAAAGTGTAATATTGCAATACTTCAAGAGGTTTTCACGAAACATGATATATATTTTTTCAAACATCAGGGCATAGCCATGACGGTTGTATTTTGATGATCAGCAAAAAAAATTAAAATTATAAAAAAAAAAAAATTAAAACAGGCATATTTTGAATCATATATTTTGGCTAAATATTCAACCGAGTTAATTTAGAAACCACTTAATGCATTTTAAGAAAAGGTGAAAAGCTGCAAATCACAAGCGCAGAAAACGCTACCTTTGCCAATCACAAGGCCACACTTGTCTGCTGGTATCGTGTACGTCACTTCCTGAAGTCCACCTGGAGCTCCCATGTTCCAGTCTCCTCGGCCTCTTCCCCGGCCCCTGGATCCTAACGCACCCCCAAAACCATCCCGCTCCTGAGGGGACACAACAGACCACCACAATGAGTGACGTTTTACCTGAAGCTTCACAGCAGTTTCCACCAAACACTGAGGATCAAGAAACAGTGAGGGTTTTACCACAAGGGCCATTCATATGACCTAATAATGACACCCCTTTTAAGGAGCTACAAATCTGAATAACCGCCAGTACCAGCAGATACATGATCAAAAATGAGAAACTAATAGTTTTAAAATGGTTTTAGTTCAACTCTGCTGTTACCCTGGGAGTTGGGGTGGGAAACAGCAATATATTTTACAGAATCCGCAGTAAATCTTGCTGATTGGGCTTCAGCAAAGATCCCAACTGATTTTACCTTTGATAAAACAAACTGTAGAAATAACTTCAGGTTATATTAATCCTGTGCAAACCGCCATTTCGCTAAATACTGCATCACATCCTGTGGAAAAGACGTTTTTACAGTTTTTCATAAGTGTGGAGTCACTTAAAGAAACATTTACTTGTATTCTCAGTGCCTTAAACCAAGCTGATGTGTATTATCCAACCCTAATATACGAGTCCTTGTTCAATGCACAACTCTAAACATTAAAACGTTTTGATTTTATAAATAGATAGATAGAACTTTATTGATCCTGACGGGAAATTGCAGTGTTTCAGTAGCAAGACATAATTTCACATAAACTTACATAACCTATCTAGAAATAGAAATAAAAGTAGACATAAGTTAAAGTATAAGAGACTAGAAATAAAGTATATCTATTTGCATATTTACGTGGCATATGAGACAGATTTGTTGTATTTACGTGACAGCAGGCACTGAGTGGTATGAAGTAAACTAAAAGCACAATGAATATAGAGATAACTAGCTAGGAGTTGCAGCAGTATTACAGTGTAAAGTGTGCAGTGAAAGTGTCATTACAGCAGCAGGTTATGATCTATTACAGTGCATAAAGGCTAAGAAAGATCTCACACAGCAATATGGACTGTTGCTGCTAACTGCCAAGCTAAAGAGACACTGCATTTACATAAAACTTACTTAAATATTAGTTTACTGTTTGTGGACAGCCACATGTGTGGCATATGTAAGTTTTTGGTGTGAGAGCAATGCATAAATGAAGTAGCCCCTCCAATCTCGGTCATTTATACCCATATTTCTTATCATATTCACATGCATTACAGGCATCCTGTGGAAATTACATTTACACCCCCCCTCACCCTCCAACGTAAAACTAATCCTGTCCGAATAGCACTTCAAACACTACGTACTACATCAGCCAAGTCGGATTTTAAACTGCAAGTAAGTAAAAGCATGATGACCATCTATTTAGGTTGGTGAAGCACAAGAAGATGGACAAGCTAATGAGCGACTAATCCAATTTCACATATAAAATGAGTGTAACTTCAAAGTCTTTCTGCTGGACTTAGTAGAGAAAACCCATCCAATGTGACTTGAGGAGTGTTGTACCTGTGCTGTGTGAACCAGCTCGTTGATGAGGTGAACCGCATGCTGACATCTGTCCGGCTGGCCCATCACCTGAGCAATCCGGTCTGGACTGATTCCATCATCTGAAACACAACAGCACAACAAAGATGCACACATAAATGACTATGTACACCAGCAGACACCTCCACTAGAGGTGTAAGACAATGGCCCAGTCCCATTTCACCCCTCGCCCCTAACACTCAGCCCTTAGCCCTCTGTTTTGCGCATTCACGTCTAGGGGTAGAGTGTCCCAATTCTTGTTGAGATAGAGGGGTAGGGTGAAGTGTTAGGCCTACACAGCCCCCCAAACGGAGGTTTTTCAGAGACTCCAAACAGAGAGATATGAGAAAAAAAGAAAAGGCCGCAAGATGGCTGAGCAAGAGACCAAAGGAACCCACAAATGTGAGAATTTTCTCCATTAAAAATTACGATAACCACTGTATTTTCTTAGTTTGTCGCTTCAGTGTATTATGGTCGTTTTCTTCATAACAAGCATTAAAAAAAATAAATAAAAAAATAAATATTCACTACTTGCATGCTAGCTAACTTTCCCGTTCCACCTTAAATAGTCCAGCAGTTCTGATGCCTAAAGCGCCAGAATGTAACTGCTTCATCATTTAAGGTGGAACGGGAAAAGTCAAACAAGAAGCTGGTGAATATCTGACTTCAGCTTCGTATCACCAAAGAATTAGCGGTGGGTGATAATAAATCTCCAGTTATGCTTTGCATTGTGTTAAAATTCATAACGGATTTGGTCCAATGACAAAAATGGTCCAATATTAACTTGAATGAAATTTTGTTTCATTAACTTCCATTATAACCTTTTCTTGTGAAGTTACTAATTTGGAGATACAAGGTTGACGATGCGCCTCGTTAAGTGTTTTCGTTTAATATGTAATCTGTCATAAATGAACCCAGATAATGAATAAACTGTCTTTCCTCGTAGCCTGCGGTGACGAACACGTTTCCATCAAAGTTCCTAAAACGAACAGAATTTCACAGAGTCTATTAACAATACTTAAGCAAACCTAAAAGGGCATTTGACAATTTTTTTTATTTCTGCAAAGTTAAATCATTACGATTTACAGTAGGGGTGAGCCGAAGAATTTGACGCTTCTAAAAGCTCCCTCACTGAAAGTTACTACATAAAATAGTCATGAATACAGAGTCTGATACATTGTTTTACAACTGCTTTGAGATAATTTTGTCATAAAATTTATTTTTTTTTAATTAAATTCACGTTGGAGAGGTACATGCAGTGTTGTGGAGCAAAACAGTCCTCAAAGAAAGTTTATTCTACCACTGTTTTACCACAATTACCTATGATAGCTCAGAAGATTTGCACACAATCTTATTTTAATTCTTAATACAAGTAAAAATATATATAATCTCCTTAACATCTGTATTTGTAGCCCTGCTGCAGCTATTCAAAGGCAAAAGCACCAACATTGTAATTTCCAAAAGGACTGACGACTCCCTGTTGAGACACAAGCGTGCGTAAAATAACTCGCTGCGTTATTAATCTCTCCTAAACCCGTCAACACTTCAGTGGCATCTCCTTTAAAGACTTAAGGGATTTGGATGATGTAACCCTGTCCTTACGCGCCCTCAGTCCACTGAGATTCGGTTGTCTGTACTTGCACTTCCGCAAATCACAGCAGAGCACCACACCTTCTCAAGGTAATTAAGCCTGAAAGAAGAGAGTTCTGGGGATACAGCCTCAAGACCTTCACTCAGATCATAACACCAGAGCGGTCAGACCGGAGCCCGTATGCCACACTGACCTGGTTTGAACTGGATCCTCACACCAGCATCGTTCTGGATCTTCTTAATCATCTCACCGTTTCTGCCAATGACGATGCCCACAGCAAACCTCGGCACGGCCACCTGTTCAGAGACATGTTGCATCAAAATAAGCTTCCACATAAACCAGACATGGCCTGGCATCACTTTAGTGTTCCTATTTAATGAATTGCGATAGTTTATCACAGTGCTGTGAATTTGTATTGATATGGTCATGTACAAATGTCCAAAAAAGTAGTTATAAAGTTCAGGTTTAGCTAGAGAGATGTGGGCAATTTAAAAATGCACAAACTAGGGCAGCGCAGTATATTAATACTGACCTCCACAAAACTGACAGGAGGCTACAGTGTGCAAATGAGTCCTCTTAAGCCTTTGAGGGGCCCATATTCCCAACAAGGAATGTTTCAGATCCGAGTGGTTTTTGAAGGTTGCACAACAAAATTTGGAGATTTGTATTCAGTCTGATACCAATTTGTACGAGAAAACACATGAATAGTACAGGGTGTTTCAAAAAGATTCATCCGATTTTAAAGCGCCATATTTTTACAACCGTGAGGCGCCTAGGAACCAATCACAATCCAATTGAAAGAGGAGGTCATAGAGTTTCTGACTGTCAGTGGAAGATGGCTTCAGTCTGTGAGGAGATGAGACCCCTGAGCAGAAAGCGTTCTGCGTTCTCCACTTCAATAAGAGTGAATCCATCATAACTGTGCAGCGTGATTTTCGCCAGCACCTCCAACAGTTCAGAGCGTTCGTCGCTGGTTCCACAACACTGGACGATCTCAGAAATCTCACTGAAAGAGCCGTGAGTGCAGCGACACCCGACATGCTCAATCCAGTATGGGATGAATTTGACTATGGTGTTGATGTTGTCCGTACAGCTGGAGGAGGTTCATACTGAGCACTCGTAAAATTACATAAACTTTATGCTCATAAATCATTTACAGTTTACCGCATTGTCCTGTGATGATTTAAGTGAAGCGAAATACATCGTTTTGAAATCGGATGAATCTTTTTGAATCACACATATTTTAAGTCCCACTTTTTTTGCTACTGACCAATAATTCAATGATAAGCGATGACCGTTCTGTTCTGAATGAACTCACACGCTCGCTCAGAGAGAAATAAAGTGCGTCCAACAATAAAAGAAGCCTTGTCCATGTTTTATATTCGTGATAGAAAACACGGCAGCACACAGAAAGTGTCGATTTCACACACGGAAACCAGATCAAATGATTTTACTGTTAGCAAAAGGAACGTGCATGCAGCACAACTCCTCCAGCGGCAGATTTATATGAGCATTTATATGAGTTTTTTTTTCCCTGTCTTCACTAATCACAGATGTTCTGGAAGCGCGTGAAGGAATCTGAAGGAACACAGTTCAACATGCAAACATGCACACATTCATTTAAAATCATTCTTACATTGTGTGAATATTTCATGATGAGCGGATCAATAGCAACGGCCTTGAAGAGTCTGCAGCTGTATGCAAACTGCAGCAACTTTAAGGTGGAATTTTCCTCTGACACCAGCAGCATTAACATTTCAGATGAATGATTCTTTAAATAAGGGGCAACAATCCATGTTGGCTCAAAAATAATGCAGGGTCGGCTTTAACCAAGCCAAACAGGTTCACCAGTGTTCTTAATATACTTCAATGCATAGTGCAATCACAATAGTTGGCAATACAAATCGCAATGTGCTATGGCGTGCATGTGCTTACATCCAAACTGCTTCCTCCCAGCCTGGAGCCGAAGTCACCTCTGCCAGTCCTGAAGTCTCCCTGGTCCTTTTCCCGGATGATCTCCACTACCAATTCTCGTGCTTGCTGTGGAAGACACGATGCACAAAGCCAAGCTGTATTAAAGCCACAGAAAACGCTAAACCAATAAAAGCTCCCATCTGTGGTTAAACAGAATGAAATGGCCCTGAAGGGGTGATGAGTCTCCAGTGTATGTTAAAACAAAACAAGCATAAGTGGACTCACCTGCACTTTAAAGGGATCCCCAGTGATTCTCAAAGGCTTGTCTGCACCGGTGGGCATTGGGCCGTCCTGAATCATGATCATCTTCACTCCTGTCCTCTCCTGAAGCCCAAAGAGGAGATAAGAGGGAGTGAAGCCGGGCTCGTTATCCAATTTGCATATCAATGCTGTTATATTAAAACCTATAAACACCATCATTAGTTTTATTTTTATTCTACTTTTAAACTCATACGTACATTTTTATACACAAGGTTTTACATTGTATGAATATTTCGTGATGAAACGATCAACAGTCTAAAAACCACTTAGAATAAAATTATTACACATATAAATATATTATTGTACACTATACGTTTTTCTTTTTTCTGTAAAGTCACCATTTTAGAGAGGGAAGGTTTCCTCATAACAGCGATGATATACAAATGTTAATCTGAATATAAACACATCCAAAACGTCAAGGTTCCATGCTATCGAACATAATTGATTTTGAAAACCGCACATGGAAAAAAAAAAACAAAAAAACAAAAAACAATAAACAATAGAAATCCAATCAATATTGTAATTATTCTGCCAAAACATAAAAGACAGGCTTGGTCAGTATGTATGCATTGACCAAGCCCTCCTACATTTAAAACATACGAGCCAATTACTCCATTGTTTATTTGAGAGAGAAGTGCACCTGAAGTTGTTTAATGGTGTCGCCTCCTTTCCCAATGACCAAGCCCACTTTGCTGGCCGGGATCAGGATCTCCTGGATGGCGTTGTTGCTGTCCATCTCGTTGTGGAAGCCAGGGCCGTTCCGACACCGGTCCACGATCTGACCGAGGAGGCGCTTCGCCTGCCTGATGGGCACAATAAACAGAGGGGTCAGAACCAGCAGACAGTAGTGAAGAGAAGACACACATGGAAACGGGAATTGCTGTCAAACTTCACTCATATTGCTTAAAAAAAGAAAATATACTACAGCTACTCCTTCACAGTGTTAAAGCTATACGCCATGAATGTGTCCCACCATTTCAAGAACAAAGCATGGTAAACATTGAAATAAAAATGGTTAAAAAAATGAAAATAAAACTAAAAGAAACATTAAATAAAGTGTTAAAATTTGCCAAGTGCTCCATGAGTGTTTGTGTGTCTCACTAGTTCACCAAATAATCTGTGCAGATGTTATTACTGTGATATAATATTATACTGCAATGCTGACTACCGTGAAGTCCCACATCTGATTTCAAAAACAGGGCAGGTTTTTGCTATTTTGAGTGCAGTAATTTTTAGTGATAATGCTGAATGTTTTAAATACTGAGAATTGACTGCTGATAAATGTTCAAATGACTAAAGATTTTGCATATTTACCAATTAAACCTGCTAAAATTTCCAATAAAAAAAAGCTACTTAGCATAATTAAAGGGGTTGACCTTTTAAATAAAAGGCTGTATGCGCTCCTACTGTTATTTCTTCTTTGTCCTTTTCTTTTTCGTATGTAAAGAACACCAGAGAGCTTTAATGCTTTCACACAGAGCAAAATTCACACACACACACAGCTACATTGCAGAATGCCTTAAAACAATGAGAGCTTACTCAATGCTCTCTGGACTCCCAGTCAAGGTGCAAGGCCGGTCAATCATACCTCCACTGTCTATAGGAGCAACACACAAAACACAGTTTACGACAAAACTTACCTACCACAAACAGATACAGTCAAAACACATTGGGGAGAAAAAAAAAATGTAAATAAACAAAAGCAAAAAGGAGAAAATGAAAAACAGTCACGCCAGGGAAATAACTCTGTATCTTAGCTCTAAACAACATGAGTGGTGAGATTATTCTGCATGTGATTTACATGAATGAGGCACGATCTCTGGGGAAGGGCAGAAGAAAAATCAAAGAGTGTACCCACCAGCAGCAATCTGGATCTTACAGCCTGATTCCAACTGGATTCTAGTGATCTGCTCACCACCTCTTCCAATTACTGGGAAAAAGAACAGAAGTCAAGAACAATAAAACAATAAGAAACAAGGACAGTGATTTTACTTTGCTTAAAGGTAAATTCCACAGACTTTCCAGAATTCCTGCATAATTCAATGGTTGAGATGTCAGTCATTCAGAGTCGTTCTCTATAGAGAAACTTACTCATTTCTGTACAGGAGGTACAGTAGGTGACAGAAACCAGGGGTCAGAAATATAGCTATTCAATATTCATCCACAATCAATACTAAACCTACACATTTTCTGAGTCACATTTCCACTGATCAGGCATAACATTATGGTGCACTTTGTAGTTCTACAGTTACAGACTGTAGTCCATCTGTTTCTCTGCATACTTTGTTAGCCCCCTTTTACCCTGTTCTTCAGTGGTCAGGACCCCCATGGACCCTCACAGAGCAGGTACTATTTGGGTGGTGGATCATTCTCAGCACTGCAGTAACACTGACGTGGTGGTGGTGTGTTAGTGTGTGTTGCGCTGGTCTGAGTGGATCAGACACAGCAGTGCTGCTGGAGTTTTTAAACACCTCAGTGTTACTGCTGGACTGAGAATAGTCCACCAACCAAAAACATCCAGCCAACAGCGTCCTGTGACCTCTGATGAAGGTCTAGAGGATGACCGACACAAACTGTGCAGCAGCAGATGAGCTGTCGTCTCTGACTTTACATCTACAAGGTGGACTGACAAGGTAGGAGTGTCTAATAGAGTGGACAGTGAGTGGACACAGTCCAATCCACAATTTTTCCATCGCCTAGCGCATCAAATCAATGTTGATCTCCGATTTCAGAATTGATTTATTTGTGTATATCGACTTTAATTCAGTGCTGAATCAGTGTAATGTTATTTTTTGATATATTTCCCAAATTAACTGCATGCATTAATATACAACTCCACTGATGTGTGGAGTTCTAGGTCCAAAATCCAAGTAATTTACAAGGTTTTACAATGATGTGGCTCAGCCAATCAGATTTTAGAACAATTCTAATTAATTTAAAATTAAAAAGTCTACTAAAAGAAACGGTTTTCACCGTACATATGGAAACAAAAACAAACAACCTGCTTATTCAGAAAATAAGATTTTGAAAGGAAACTCTAGCTGGTTGAATATATGGAATTCATTCCAATTACGTACCACAACAAAAATGTCTGTGTTTTAGAACCCCTGCCCACCAGATACTTACTGAAGCCCACCATCTTATCAGGCACTTTGAAGTCTTCTGTCATTATAGCCCTGGACATAAACAACAAAACATGTGATGCAATAGAGTTTAGTAAGGGTTTAGTAAGCACAGTAAATAGTCAAGACCAAATACCATTTATAAATGTCTTAAGGTGCCAAACAGTGTTTTTTACCCATTTAAACATGAAATATTAAAGAGAAATTCCACTGTTTATAAACGAGTCCCGATTCATGATAAAGTATTTCTGCCAACATTTAAAATGAACACAGAAACTACTAATAACTGTAAACATCAAATGCCAAAAGGTGATCCTGGAATGAATTTATAGTGGGTATTAAAACAATTTATTTAAAACGCGAACAATTTAAATGTAATTTAATTATATATATATATATATATATATATATATATATATATATATATATATATATATATATGAATGATAAGATATATGACATGATAAGGGTTGTGACTCACCTTGGATGTACCATTGCCCCAAGCGGGGTGCCTACTTTAAATAAAAAAAAACAGGGAGGGAAGGAAAATGTTAACATGTCATAAAAATACTGTATTCTAGTTATTGTACAGAACAACAAATGAATACAATTTAGACTACATTCATACAGAGCCTACTGACTTTAAACTAGTAAAGCCACTAGAAAGAGAGGAGACAGAACAAGAGAGGAACAGACAAAACGAGAGTGTGTAGAGAGTACAGAGAAAAACTAGCGAGAGAGCGTAGGGGGAGACGGAGAAAGGCAAAGAGCGTAAGAAAATAGCAAGACATTTCCAGTCAAAGCTGGGCTGAAAGTTATTTGATTTGTTCATTCTTCACTCAAACACGATACCGCGACAGTGACGAGAGGAGACAGCAGAGAACTGTGTTTCCGCTTGTGGGCCGTCGAATCGCACATATCTGCATTTCGGGGACAATTCGCCCCATGGCAGAGAACCAACTTACTGAGAGGCTGTAATAAACCACAGCACTGAGGACAACAGAGAAACTCTGTTTCTGAAATTCCCAAACACAGATGAGCCGAGGACAGCGCTGAAATGCTCACGCGGCGCTCCTTCAGAGAGAATGACCATCGGTATAAGTAAAAACGGTCATTTAAAGAACTTTCGATGCTTCGAGCTTCATTTAAGTGCTACCATTTCCAAAAGAACACATAATCGCTGTTGTCGGAAGAAAACCTCCTATCTCCAAAATGGTAACTTTACAGGAGAAGGAAAAAACCTACTTCACTTTTAATGTGAGTCAATGGAACCAGAGTTTTTTCCAAGCAATTTTGGGCCGTTTATTTTAGTCCATTCATCATGAAATTTACACATAACGTAAAGGGCAACAGGCATTTTCAAAATGTGTCAAAAACTGAAAAACGACAAAAATGGACACGTTTTGGGGTTTTGTTCTGACACAAGTGATGTGCACATGAGCAGAAACAAAGAAATTAAGCAATGAGGTTAAATTCTGATCATTCGAAACCTTCCACAAGAAAATGAAGTGTAATATGTCAGCCTGCTTATATTAAGCAGCATTCGTCAGATCATTTAAAAGACAAATACGTTTTTTTATATTTTATTGTATATTTATTTTATTCACTACATGTAAACGTCTGTCTGTGCACTGTGAGCTCCTGTAAACAAAACCAAATTCCTTGTATGTGTAAGCACACCTGGCCAATAATTCTTGATCCTGAAATAACTGAACTAAAAAAAGGACAAAACTCTAACTGTATAGTTTTTTGATGAGTTCTAGATCATAAGATCATAATATGATCAGATCATAAGAACAAACCTTCCCACCAACACAAAGCCTTTTATTTCTCGGCAGGAGCTTCTCTGCAGTTTGTGACCTCCTTCAAAGCCGCACTCCTTGCTCTAACTCACTCTCCAGACCACATATTTTGTATGTGCAAGACATAAATAAAGGGTGGTCTCTAATGTTTGCACAGTATTGTAGACTTATTTCGCATCATTTCCAGTCCAAATGACAATTAAGTACAAGTCACTAATTTTTTCCAGGAGATTTTTCTGGGGAGTGTTGATTTAAGATAATCCACTCGCATAAGGAAAAAGAAATTGTGGGGGGAAAAAAAAAGTTTGGGATTATTTGGATCGTGTGAAGCTAAAAAATACTAAACCAACTTCTAAGACTGAACTTTGGAGGGGTGGAAAAATCTGCAGATTCCTTTGAGAAACCGAGTCTCTGTACTGGCAACCAGGTGGTGGAACGAACTCCCACTGGCTGTCTTCGTACAGCAGAGTCTCTCGCTGTCTTCAAACGCAGACTGAAGACACGTCTCTTCATACAGCACTTAAATGAGCACTAAGTATCCGTTGTAATGTATTGTACTGCACTTACTAAAATACATGGTATTGCACTGTATTGCACTGCGCTGTGTTTAACTCCGTTCCTTTTTCTCTGGGTATCAACAGGGACTTTTTGTTTCGAGCATCTGAGCTCAGGACTGTCTTTCTCTCTCTAACCTATTGGCAAAAAGCAAAGATACTTTCTCTAGATAGACAAAGCACTTTTTGTATGTCGCTCTAGATAAGAGTGTCTGCTAAATGCTGTAAAAGTAAATGTAAACGAGTCTCCTGAAAAGAGCAAAAGCTGTAATTAAGGCAAAGAGTGAACACGAACAAAAACGAATTTATATCATATCTGTTTTCAGCTGTTGAGGCGTCTGATTCTCTGTTGAATATGTTGTCGTCTGTTTTTGTCCTGGTGCTGAGAAGAAGTGAATAACTTGCTTGCGGTTTGACAGGAAACTGAATAAATGAGGGGTGGTTTTTGACTTTTGCACAGAGCTGCACTTCAGAGATTCTGAGGCCATTTTCACACGTGCATGTGTTACACAGACTGGTGTGAACACTAGTCATGTATTTGATGAAACTGCTCATTTCCGAAGTCAAATCAGACCCTCGGCTCTCGGCGGATATGCTCAAAAGGTAGATATCCCGGGGTTTCCTACAGTTGTTCTCGCTAACGGCTTTCAGCGTCAAACATAGACCCCCGTTACCTTCTCAGGCGTTCAAGCAACATGGCTTAAACTTGTGTAGAGCTCTATGTTGCTGCGGCCAAATATAGAACCAAATAATGCAGTTTCTTCCAACTTTATTTTGAATACGACGCCTCTAAAAACCAACCCTGGGTATTAGAAACACACTAAACATTCCCACTGGATAAATGAGTGTGAATCACTAGTGCTGTTGGGCCCAAAACATTCTTTACGCAAGGACGCAGATGCAGACGGGGTTTTGAGCGTAGTTGCATTGAAAAAATGTGTCACAAGGCATTTTATAACGCTGCAATCTGAGCGTTACAGCAAGGGGGCGCTATAACGACAGCCAAGCCTGACCAAGCGGTCTCGCACCGCCAGCGTGCTTCTCAACTGCCACAGCAGACCAGCAGTTGAGTCTCACGCAAATAAGTAAAAAAAAATATAATCATAAAAATATCATGCATTATCGCATTTCCATTTCACCGGAAGAGGTAAAGCAGCTCACTCTGGTGCTGGAATAACAGTAGATCCCTCTCCGATGTGTCCTCTATCGCCCCCTTCAGTACCGAGTGTTTTAACCGCACGGTGAGTTTGTACAGAATGACAGAGTTTGCAACACGTTCAATGAGCGCTGCCATTTGCGTTCGCATCCTTGCGTGAAGTATGTTTTGGTCCTTAATGTCAATTTAGACCACAGTTATTTCAATGTGATTAAATTACGAATCATTATTTTTAAAAATGTCAGTAAACACTGGGGGTTTTTTGCACCATTTGGCTGATAATAAATATCAATAATAGAGAACTGTGGTACAATCATAACATACAGTCAAGGTCTTCCTATACTGTGAGTTACTGGCACTGATGTGTTGATCTACGACCTCAGTGCTCCAGTGCTGATATTTCATGGTACAGCGTTCTCTCTTATTACTGTGTGAATACTGTCAGCACGGTTTGGGATCAATCCCTTAGAATCCAGTCACACAATACAAATCGTTTTTACTTTTATTTTATTTTGCGCAATACCACGGCCGAAAGCAGCCCTCTATGAAACTGTGTTTATATGTCTGTAATGGTTGTTTACACTGATATCATTTGGGAGAGAAATTTTCCTAATATTGCTTGGATTTTTTTCTTAAAACTCCTTAAACTCAAAAATAACACAACTATATATGCAAACCAAATCCAACAGAGGCTTAAAATAGGTTTAATACAGGAAGGCAAAGGCCCAATTTCTTCAAACCTGCAGGTAAAAAAAAGTTGGAGGTAGAGGTAAAACATATTATGGTATCATATGATACTGGTTAATATAATTTCTTTCTGCTGGTGCACAAAGACATGATCAAAAACCAGTAGACGTTTTAGAGACGGTGCAATCATAATATGCAGTCAAGGTCTTCCAATACTGTGAGTTACTGGCACTAGAGTGTTGATCTACGACCTCAGTGCTCCAGTGCCGATATTTCATGGTACAGCGTTCTCTCTTATTACTGTGTGAATACTGTCAGCACGGTTTGGGATCAATCCCTTAGAATCCAGTCACACAATGCAAACTGTTATTTTACTTTTATTTTATTCTGGGCAACCCACGGCCAAAAGCAGCCCTCTATGAAGCTGTGCTTCACTTTACACTACATATTCTGAGGTTTAACCCTTAAAACTCTACAATTTTTGGGATTTTTTTTTGTATTTTGGGTCAATTACAATTACAATTATAAAATATTCACACAAGACAGTCACACATGCCATATGCTATTTTCAGGAGACCCTGGGCTACATAGATATGCCATTCTTTGACACGTAAATGCTAACAGAAATGTGATATCTTTATGAATTTGGGTCATTTTTGATCAAAAATTTACCCAGCGCCTGCTAAATTTAGCATTTTTTTGCTTATAGAGATCTAAAAAAACAAGTTTCACCACAGATACCTTTTCAGAAACTGTTAGTCTGGATTGTCTGTGAGCTGAAAGTGCAGTAATTTTGATGGTAATTCCTTCTTTTGGTTATTATGAGCAAAAATAAACAATTAGCATAAGGAGGCCACGTATTTTATTGATCTTCTATCCTCTTGGATTCAGGCTGAGTGCTAAAACTCTGATACACAGCAAGACAGGCTTTATTTTTAATTACAAACTGAGCTGCATATTTAATATCACTTATTTTTAATACTTAAATTCAATGTAAACTGAAAGACAGAGCTAAATATTATTCATTTTATAATAACGTCGTCATTTTTATCGTTACTCATCCATTAAAAAGGTAAATAAGGTGACACAAGCAAAACAGCCATTCTAAATCTGGCCTTCATGGCGAGTTCACGCAGTTAGAGCTCCCATTAACCAATGCTTTAATTAGGTTAAGCCAGAGGTAAACAGAAACAGATTACAGAAGGTAGGTTAAAGGTCCCTCTCGAATCAGTACGCATGCTTTCTTTACCCTTTCTGTGAAGTGAAATGCAGTGATCACTTCATATAGTACTAGAAGAGGGTAATATGGTATATCACAATAGATCTACAACACACAATATTCGTTCTGAGGTTTGCTAATGTTACGTAACAGACACAGTGCGGCAGCCACACTTGTGCACACTTCCCAAGAACATTCTTCCCTTTCACATTTTGACTCAGCATCATGAAATCATCTAACCTTTGTGTTCACAGAGCCAGAAACACATTTAACCCACATTTAACGTTAAATCAGACAACTGCGCATAGACGATTTACAAGGCCTGTTCTATTTTCATCGGTGGTTCTGCTTTATTCAAATTAGCGGCTCTGCCTCGTCTTAAGGCCTGCAGGGTCGTACGTGTTGCTGCTAGTTAGAGCCAAAATGTTAAAGCCAACTTCTTACCTAGATCATACCCGAACGGTTCCATACGGCTCTCAGAACAAGCACTAACTAGCTACGTTGTGATCTGATCTACCATCTAATTATACGACTACAGTTAACCTTTTTAACTCCGTGGAACCGCGGGTGGTTCCGAAACGTACTTAGTCATATTCTTTACTTCATAACTTTCATGTTTCATAAGTTTCATTCAAAAGGTGGGTGTTATGAGAGCTGGAACTGCCTTCTTTCCCGTCAAATAGATGGGTAATGTAATTTTAAACCCTTGTAATACAAGAAGCTGAACTCCATTTTTTTTCTACTGGAAGTTGAACCATTTTCCCACAAATCTGAGCTACAAACTGGATCTCAGGTGGCGGCGTCTCTTCAGTGATCTGCTCTGTAAAAATTATTTTTATGAAAAAAATACAAAGAGCGTCTAAGATTTTTGGCTTTCAGCAGTAAATTGTAAGCATATGGCATTATGTTTATGATCATAAAACACGTTCCGTTAATTTAAGGGGAGCTTTTACAAAAAATGTAGTTTTTTGCAGTTACTGAATATTTTACCTTGCGATTTAGGCACGGAAATTCAGATGGAAAAACCGAAATATACCTACGAGCATAACTTCAAACCCGAATGCACAGCCATCATTAATGAAAAGTTAAGCCTCACTAATCACAACATTAAGCTACCGGTAGCCAATCTTCAGACAGAGCGTCAAAAAAGTAGTTTGCTCGCTGTTTTACAAACAGGGTTGAGTTTATATTTTTTATTTAATTACTTTTTTCAATTTTCATTTTTAATCTAGTTAAATTTTTGAAGCTTTTTTTTACTATATTTCCAGTTATTTCAATTCAACCTTACAAAGCAATGTATTTGTAGATTTGTTTATATGTCTGTAATAGTTATGATATCATATGGGAGAGAAATTTTCCTAATGTTGCTTGTATTTTTTTTCTTCAAAGCTCGTTAAACTCTGTAGTGAAAATAATACACAACTATATATGCAAACCAAATCCAACACAGGCTTAAAATAGACTTAATACAGGAAGGCAATGGAGGTAGAGGTGAAATATGATATTATGCTATCATATGATACTGGTTAGTATAATTTCTTTCTGCTGGTGCACAAAGACATGATCAAAAACCAGTAGATGTTTTAGAGACGGTGCAAAAGTCATTATATTTTGACGAAAATTACAAAAAAAAAATGCATTCGTCTTTTAAACGATCTAAATGCTATTTAATATAAGCAGGCTGACGTAGTCAGGTTACTACACTTCATTTTCTTATGGAAGGTTTATAATGATCAGAATTGAACCCCATCGCTCAATTTCTTTGTTTCTGCTCACATGCATATCATTGCTGTCGGGACAAAACCTCATATGTCCATTTTTTGTTTTTCAGTTTTTGGCATAAATTGAAAGCACCTGTTAGCCTTTACATTGTGTGCTAATTTCATAACGAATGGACCAAAAGAAACGGCGAAAAATTATTTGGAAAGAATTCTGGTTCCATAGACTTGCATTACAAGTAAAGTATGTTTTTTCTTTCTCCTGTAAAGTTACCATTTTGGAGATACGAGGTTTCGCTCGGACAGCAGTGATATATATTGCATGTAGATTAAGGATATAAATGTCATCAGTGCTAAATATTAAAATCTTTGGACATAATTGTAATATTAAAGGTTTTACATGATTAATCATGCTTAACATAAGCAGAGCCATGATCTGCTGTTGATTTTTATTAAGCATGTCAAAAAGTTTGCCTGTTTTATTTATATACATTGTTAAATATCGCTGCTGTCATAAGAAAACCTCGTATCTCCATTTTTGACTTTTTTCAGTTTTTGACATAATTTGAAAATACCTGTTGCTCTTTACATTGTATGTAAATTTCATGATGAATGGACTAAAAGAAATGACCCAAAATGACTTGAAAAAAAATCTGGTTCCATTGACTTCCATTAAAAATAAAGTAGGTTTTTTCCTTCTCCTGTAAAGTTACCATTTTGGAGATACAAGGTTTTCTTCCAACAACAGCGATTTGCTTCATAGAGTTCATAACACACAGGACACTGTTTCAGATCAGCTGTCCTTTGGTATCCACCTGTACTTTGTGTGCTTTAAGAGAACTGCAAATAAGGGAGCCGATGCATGGTTTCAGAATTGATTACGAAGCTCAAATAAAACCCTCTCACTTCCTGAAACTGTTCCACTCAGCTGTAGAACGTGAGGGTTTTGGTCGCGTTTTAAAAGCTTCTTGTTTTCCGCGCAGCAGCTTCAAGGACAGAAACGTTGCAGCCCTCACAATGACATGGACTCTGCTGTGGCCTAACAGTTAATGTACTTTGTGCTCTAAGGTGTAATCCCCCCCTGAAATAACACAGCAAGCTGAAGAGCTCTGCCTTTTGCACAGCGCACACCACACATATCTACACCCACACGTGCACCACCGAGTCCCACATGCAAAGACCAAGTGCAGGGTGACCAGGAAAACACCAAGAAGCCTCTCTGCACCCTGCTGAGAGCACCAAGACCCCCCAAGTTAAATAGGGCATGGTAAACTTCACTGTTTTCAGCTATGAGACACATCCTTTACCAGCTCAGTGAATCTAGATCAACATATTTCACCATCATGACGTGCATTTAGACTCGGCAATGTAAGCCTCGTCCAAATGACATTATAGAGAGACTTTAATCCTCAGCGCTGAGGACATTTACACTGTTAATCTACATTTATACAACCGTTAGTTCCAGCCACGCAAGCTGATTGGCTGAGAAGTGCTCTAACCAGGCTGTTATGGCGAAATTTTTCACAAAGACTCAGACGCTGTTGCTAAGCAATGACTTTGAGAGCTGTAGGAGACGCTCGAGCCATTTGAACGTTTTTACACTTTGGACACTTTTAAGATCACGTTTGACCGACAGCCGATTTGGTCAGACTCTGAAGATGAGACGACACTAAATTCCCAAACTGTCACCACTGAGCAGCTTTTCAGTCGGCAGCTGAGACAGAAGAACAGCTGAACAACCTGGAATCAGCCAGAAATGAACCCAACACCATTCGCCAAACTAAATGGGCTGTAAGATGCTTTACAGACTGGCTGGAACAAAACAACATTAATACTGATCTGGCAAAAATTTAAAAAACTGAGCTAAACCTGATATTGCGGCAGTTTTATGGCTCAGTCTGATTTGGTCAGACTCTGAAGATCAGACTACACGTTTGGCGAATGGTATTGGGTTCATTTCTGGCTGATTCCAGGTTGTTTAGCTGTTCTTCTGTCACAGCTGCCGACTGAAAAGCTGCTCAGTGGTGACGACAGTTTGGGAATTTAGTTTCTGGCTTGAGGTTTGACCCCTGAATGCAGTGCGCCAGACTGCCAGTAATTGTGGTTGTGAGGTCACAACACACAGAGGTTTGGTTGCCTCTGATTGGTCTACCTCACCTACAGGCAGTTCAGAAGCTCTGTGTTATTAGGCCCAAGTTCCACTCTTAAAACAACTTAACCCAAAACACTCAAGACGTTTTTGATAAAGTAGGCCATCATTTTAAAAAACTGCAGCTCTTGTGATTTGAAAATTGCACTCTTTTATATCGAAATTGCGATTTCAATATAAAAGTGATTGATCTTTCAGCCCTAAGGCTGCAGATCTCTTCAAAAAACTAAAAACTAATTCGCCTGAAAAAGAACTGAAGTTAGAATAAATGAAAAGGGTGAAAATGCTAAAGACTGAAAAATCTGATTTCATATTTTGTTGAGGCTTCTGTGAAACATCATACAGCAAATGACATTTGCTTTTATTTTTAAGTCAAAATAATACAGAGAACACACTTCTGTACATTTTAATGCAAAATTCAATGCAAAATTACCAAAAAAACAAAGCCACAATTTATATTTTCTTTCGTTTTCAAATAAATGCCATATTTAAAGTTCCCTGTAAAAGAATCTCACATGTTCACTCTGAAAATAAACAAGACGTGTAATCCTTACAAGGGTGTTGAAACTTTTGCACGCAACTATGTTTTCTGCGTTATTTATCTGCTTTTTAAAAATTAAATAAATTAAAGGAGGTAATATATTATGCTTAATTTCTTTGCTTCCTGCTTATATTGCAATTGTAGACACACAATCTAGACATCCAGTTTACAGTAATAAGCAATAAAGTAATAAGCTTAGTGCATAAACTGCACTGTATAAAGAAGCTGATCGAATATCAGCCCTTAATTTAATATTTTCCTACTTTTATTTTTTAATTATTTTATTAATTTTTTTGTCAACTGTTTATTTTTCCAGTTCATTCTTAAATATATCATTTTTACAAATGTTGAGCTAGATTTTTTAAATGTGGCATCACTGTTTTGCTGCATTTTGTCTCTTCCAACTTCAACAGAAACGTCAAAACTGTGACTTTATTTTTTGCCATTTTGCCAAAAACACACATTTCACGGCTTACCTCCTTCATCTAGGGAGCGTTTCTGACCTCCATAGCCGTAGAGGGAAGGGTCAACAACGGGAGAGGAGTGGTTCAGATGAGTCATCTGTTCTCCCCCCATTTTAGCTGCAATCTAAGAGACATCAAACAGAAAAGGCAGACAGGGAGCTGAGCGTGATATGAAAAGAGCAATGAGGAACATGGGAAACGAACTGAGGCAGCAGAATGACCGCATAATACACGACGGCACAGACAGACAAAAGCAGGGTTAACCTATATTTCGACTTAAAAACATTGGCTTGTCTAAGGAAACAGCTAAAAATGTTCATTAAGGCAACGAAAACTTTCAATCTGTTGTCTCTCCTGCCACTGCGTCCATTTACATACGCTTCATAATCCGATCATAATCAGATTTATGCAGTTATTCCGTTATTCAAATGGTAAACAGCATACTTCGATCTAGAAATCTGATTAAGAAATCTAATAAAGATGATTTTAGCTCAGTAATCAGATTTCTCAGTGCATGTGACTCTTACTCTGATTTCTTTCGTATTTCTCAGTCTGAGCATGTGCGAAAACAGACTGTGGTACCGGAAATAAGCAAGCAGTGAATCTGCGAGACGCAGCAAAACACTTTAGGAGCGACGCTGAACCTAAACGTGAAATATAGAATTTAAATATTCTTCATCTTCTAGAAGATGTATGTTTATACTTTCGTTAAAGTGGCGCAATGTTTTTAAAAAAAAAGCTGCGGCTTATTGAGTACGAATTTGGGTTCGAATTTGGGTTCGAATTTGGGTTTTACGTTATGTTTACGTCTCGTCGTCTTCTGTGACTTTATTGGCTGGTTGCAAAGCAGAAAACTGATTATTGTCTGACTCATGTAGACCCAGAGTTTCCCCATTATCTGATGACCCAAGTGCATATAAACGTGTTGATCGGATTACTGACGAAATCTGATTTTCTGCAGTTATCGGATTATTAAGTGCATGTAAGCACACTCATTGTTACAGACTCTAAGGGAGCTGCTTCGGGCAGCTGGGCGACGCTAATCGTTCGCTCACTTTAAGGGAAAAAAAAATAAATAAATAAATAAATAAATAAATAAATCTGCTTCCGATCTCCAATTAGCCATTCACGACGTCTGCCAACACAAAAGAGCAGCACACTTCTCCATTCTTTTCCTACATACATTGTCTTGCTCCACTGAAAAGTATAGCCTTTCAGAAAATTACACAAAATTGAGATTGATGTTTTTTATCCTTTTTGTAAGAAAAAGAAAGAAAAAAAGGGGGGGGGGCAAAATATAATATGCCCAATTAGAAGCTTCCGGCACCTTTGGGGAATCAACACTCGTCAAACCTGCATGAGACGTCCTGATACATGCGAGAGCAGAGTGAGAAGTGAGGAACAGAGAGAGAGAGAGAAAATAAGAGAGCAAAAAAGAAAATGAGACAATGGAAAAAGAACAGAAGACGTAAAAAAGACAGATCGAAAGTGTGTGTGTGAGGGAGATGGAGAGACAGTTACAGAGAACCAATAATTGAGAACAGAACCAATGTATGAGTTAAAGAACAACTGAGAATCAAGTGAGTGAGAAATCAGACAAAAGGGAGAAACAGAACAAGTGAAAGAAAACAAGCGAGAGAGAAAAGAGAGAATATCAAGCGAGAAAAGAGAACAGGTGAGCGAGAAAGAACACCAATTAGAAAGAAAATGAGAGAATAACTGAACAAGAGTGAAGAGAGAGAGAGAGAGAGAGAACAGAAAGAAAAAGGAACTGAGGGACAGAGAACAAGAGAAAACGAATGAGTCAGACAGAAAGAGAGCGAGAAGACAGAACAATAAGTGAGAACTGTGAGAGACCCGAGAACAAGAGAGAACCAACAAGTGAGCAAGAGAAAGAAAAAACAAAACCAACAAGTGAAAGAACAAGAACAACTTACAACTTAGAGAGAGAGAGAGAAGTGAGGAGAGAGAAAGAGCAACTAAGGAAGAGAGAACGAAAGAAAACCAACAAGTGAGTGAAAGAGAGAGAGCGAGAAGACAGAACCAGTAAGTGAGAACAGTGGGAGAACCGAGAACACGAGAGAGACAGAGAACCAGCAAGTGAGGAGAGAGAGAAAGAACAAGAGAGAGCCAACAAGTGAGTGAGAGAGAGAGCAAGAGGACAGAACCAGTAAGTGAGAACTGTGAGAGCAGAGAACGAGAGAGAGAGAGAGAGAGAGAGAGAGAGAGAGAGAGAGAGAGAGAGAGAGAGAGAGAGAAAGATAGAGAACCAGCAAGTGAGAAAAGAGAACAAGAGAGAACCCACAAGTGAGCGAGAGAAAGAAAAAACAGAACCAATAGGTGAGAGAACAAGAGAATAACGAGAGAGAGAGAGAGAGAGAGAGGGAGAGAGAGAGAGAGAGAGAGAGAAAGAGAGAGGGGGAGAGAGAGAGAGAGAGGGGGAGAGAGAGAGAGAGAGAGAGAGAGAGAGAGAGAGAGAGGGGGGGGGAGAGAGGGAGAGAGAGGACAGAACCAGTAAGTGAGAACTGTGAGAGAGCAGAGAACGAGAGAGAGAGAGAGAGAGAGAGAGAGAGAACCAGCAAGTGAGAAAAGAGAACAAGAGAGAACCCACAAGTGAGCGAGAGAAAGAAAAAACAGAACCAATAGGTGAGAGAACAAGAGAATAACGAGAGAGAGAGAGAGAGAGAGAGAGAGAGAGAGAGAGAGAAAGAGGGAGAGAGAGAGAGAGAGAGAGAAAGAGAGAGGGGGAGAGAGAGAGAGAGAGGGGGAGAGAGAGAGAGAGGGGGGGAGAGAGGGAGAGAGAGGACAGAACCAGTAAGTGAGAACTGTGAGAGAGCAGAGAACGAGAGAGAGAGAGAGAGAGAGAGAGAGAGAGAGAGAGAGAGAGAGAACCAGCAAGTGAGAAAAGAGAACAAGAGAGAACCCACAAGTGAGCAAGAGAAAGAAAAAACAGAACCAATAGGTGAGAGAACAAGAGAACAAGAGAATAACGAGAGAGAGAGAGCGAGAGAGAGAGCGAGAGAGAGAGAGAGAGAGAGAGAGAGCGCTCCACCTCTCCCCTCGAGCTAAGCCCTCTTTCTGGGGAATGCTGGGGTGGAATGCCAGCAATGCGAGCGTGTGGATAAATCAGCTACCCAGCGAAAAGACTCGAGCTCAGTGCAGGAGGAGGGACACACTGACCAGAGGAATTCAGGACCAACAACTGGACACTTGTTGCCCAGTTTGAGGGTGTCTGGTAGGGGTGCATGAAATCATGACAAGAAGTAGCAATACAACATATCAGTCTGTATACAGACACACAGGTATCATTTAAAAGACCTCACTTATAAATCTCACTCAGCCCCTCTCCCTATACTGGAGAGTCTCTCAGAGCATTGAAAAGCACAGAAGCCCACCGGCTCTTCACGTCAGGGTGGGTAAAGGATCCCATGGTGTTCATAAAGAGGAAAAACACTCATCATAGGAGGGTAACGACATCAGCTAATTAACACAGATGTGAACAATTCTAGCCTTTAGATAACTTTAGCTGATGTTATCAGCCGAGAGAAGAACAGTCGCCCCCTAACGGAGCTGCAGACCGCCGGTATAACTTTACTCTCTGTTTCTGATTTAAATGATGTTTGAATGGAGAAACATAAGCGTTAAATATCAGACTGAATGTCGTGGGTCTGAAAACGACGTCGTGTTTCGACAGACATGATTCTGTAAGTTTGCTGGTTCAGTTAGTTCAGAGTTCAGCTCCAGTCCTGAAACCCCTGCACTGCATAACTGTGGTTTCCTGGTTAAAATACCTGATATTATTAGCTAATTAATCCCTTCTTGAGCTGAACGAGGTGTGAACAGCAGAGAAACACTAAACTATACAGTGCAGGGGCTCCAAGCCTGGAGTGAAAACACTGAATTAAAGGTCTGTGTGTCTCTCGGCTTCTGTGGCGTCTTGCAGGCGAATCGTTCACAAAGCACAGCTAATTGAAGGCATCGTGCAGCGCAGTCACTCCCTGATTCGGTCCTGAGAATGGCAGCGGCTATACAGTGTGACGTCACTAACAAACTGAAAATGGAAACTTTCACATTAGGCAGGTTTGCAGGCGCCCATTATGTTATAGCTATACTGTAGAACATACTGAATAGAGACACCGCCGTATGGCATCAAATCAAATCATGAATTTTATTAAAAATACCTTTATAATACACTAAAAGCATCACAATATTTCATTTGTGAGCTTAAAACAGTAGATTTTTTAATTCGATAAGAAAATGAAGTACTTAAGAAAGAATAAACTACATTAGAGAAATAACTGTCATAACAGGCTCACAGCTACTCCATACATTGTTTAAATGCTCTCTGTAATTGGTTTTTATGATGCATGCAGATGTTCAGCGTTCTAGATGTAATGACGATACCCATGAAGTACTGTAGTGCGGATATACATCAAAATACTGGCAGTCGATCTATAATAAATGGAAAATCACATGTCCAACAGTGGAATTAGAGTCAATGATTATAGCTAATAATACGTACACATAATAGCGTAATATAGACTAGAAACATTTACAATGATCATCACAGCCAACAGGTAGAGCCGAACGATTTGGGCAAAATATCTAACTGTGATTTTTCTGACCAATATATTATATAATATTGCGATTACGATTTAAATTGGAATTGTTCCCTATAAATTTGAGGTATGGCCCTCTTCTGTGGCTAAGGCCAGCGTAACACTGGCTTGAGGCTTGAGCGCTTAACACACTGTGCCAGCCTGCTGGTTATTTCTGGTTGTGATGTCACAACACATGGACGTCTGGCTGCGTCTGATTTGACGAATTTCTCTAAAATAGCTCACAAGTTCCATGTTATTTGATTAAATTCCACTACCTACAACTTGCAGCGAATCAACAATATTGATAATAGACTATAAGACTATAATAAAAATTGCAGCTCTGGCGATTTGAAAATTGCGATTTTGATATAAAACCGATTAATCTTTTAGCCCCCCCCAACAGGGCTATGTAAAATTAATGACCCAACTTTTCAGCCTGTCTAACATTCATTTCTTATAAACACTTCATATGAATTACAGTAAATAATTATAATTATAAATTATAATAATAATAATAATAATA